AACAATAAGTATAAATTTTGTTAACATTCCTATGGGTTCCGTACCAATGCTTATGCGTTAGACAGCGACGCGGCGCTTACGCGCTTTATATTTTGTCCCTATGCAGTTAAAGCAGTACGATTGCTTTGAAAAAAAAGTTCAGATCTTCCACAATATGTCAAAATAAAGAAAAAAAAATTCTTTTTAAAAAAATTAAAAAAATTTTTTTTTAAAAAAAAAAAAATTTTTTTTTTAAAAAAGTAATTTTTTGTCCAATTTATAGTTTCTCAGAAATCTTATTTTTTCAAAGTAAATTTTTTTCAAAAATGTTAATAGTTTTTAAAAAAATAATAATTTTTGTTACGGGAAGTTCCAGCAATTTGCCTTAAGGCACGATGCCTTAATTGCTTTAAGACAGAATTCCACTTACAGCTAGTTTTACAAGTCTTCGGAAATGATAAGTTCGCGTACGAACACGTGTACACGCACAATATCCAATATCGATTGACAAGTGCTGGTGCCGTAATGCACACCGTCCACCTTGACAATAATACTCTATATTTAATAACTTTCTCGATAAGACATTGAAAACAATGCTCATGAGAACACGGACACGCGTTGCTTTTTTATTGTCTGTATTTACAGAAATAATTACATAAAAAATCTTTATTATTTTATGTTGAAACAATATTTATATTTATTCACGAAGGATAAAATGTTGAAATTGTCATAAACCGCTTTCATATTATTGAAATTGTAACACCAAATCGAATTGATTTTTTTTGTTACATAATGTTTCAAGACTTCTTGATAATTTTGGCATAAAGAATGACATGTGATTGATGTGAATGATATGTGATTATACATATATGTATGTTAACCATTTCCACTCGGGTGCCGCCACTTGGGCGGTAAAAAACTTACAAGTTCTGCAATTGGTGAGTGGAAAGGTTAAGACCTAAGACTCTATCGATTATTGATTATATAACTTCGATTATTTTGACATAAATTTATAAAATAAAACATTTGGAAAAGTTGAACTGTTCGATTGTATTGATAATTCCGTGAGGCCGACCATTTTTGACAAAATAGATATTTCACAAATACGACACAATAAAGCTATATAAAAACAAACTAGTGGTGCATGGCATCGTGCTTTAAGGCAAATTGCTGAAACTTTCCGTGTCAATTTAAAATATTTAACACTCAGAAAAGAAAAATTAGATTTTTTGAGAATTTAAATTTTTTTTAACCTTTTTGAAAACATTTGAAAAATTGAAAATGTGCATTTTTTGAAAATACTGATATTTTTTTTAAACTTGGAAAAGATTTGAAAACTGTTTTTCTTTTCAAAATTTTGAAAGTGTTTGATACCTATTCATCTCGGTTCATTCATACTGTTGAATATCTGATTTTCGACCGCCATATTGGCACTAAATTTTTTTTTGCAAAAATTTTATCAATTCTTCACTACGTCAATACAAGTGGAATGTTGTATTAAACCATGTAAATTGGATGCTCCGTTCTCTCACAAATTTAAAATTGCTATTTTCTGCAATCTTTGCTTCGTATCACCGAAACGGCTGGACCAACTTTTGCTAAAAACTAATAAGCACTTCTATTTATCAATGGGAATTGTATGTTTTTTGAATAATTAGGTTAACCGGTTTTGCCGAAAACACCGAAGAAAAATTGTATCTATATACACACGCATACATATATACATCAATTTTCTCTAAGGTATGGTAAAATGCTCAGAAATGTAAAGATTATTCATTTTCGATTTTTGGACGGTTTAATAAGTATTTGATATACAGGATACGCAACAAAACTTATTTTGACAACGCTATAAAGAAAATACTGCACATTTTCTCTAATTAACTTTCCGTAGGGTAAGTTATTGTAATGGGCCGAAAATCGAAATTGAAAATTTTTACATTTCTCGACGTTTTGAAGGTTTCTGAACATTTTGACATATCTCAGAAAAAATGGATATGTGTGTGTGTGTATGTATGATGGATACAAATTTCCAGTCACGTTTTCGGGCGCACGGATCAACCGATTTCAATGGTTCAAAAAACATTCGATTCCAATTGACAGGGAAAAGAGCTGATTAGTTTTTGGCAAAGGCAGGTCTAGCCGTTTCGGAGATACGGAGCAAAGAGTGCAAAAAATAGAAATCATGTTTTTGAGAGAACGGATTATCCGATTTGAATGATCTAAAAGACATTCAATTAGTAATGATTGGGAGAAGTGTTTATTGGTTTTTGGCAAAGGCAGGCCTAGCCATTACGAAGATACGGAGCTAAATATGTAAAAAATGGCAGTTTTTGAGAGAACTAAGAGTCCGATTTGAATGATTGAAAGAACTTTCTGCTTATCTTAACAAAATAATTGATTTTTTTCAAAAAAAATTTTTTTTGTATATCGAAAATAATTCAGATTTTATTTTTAATTCTGGCTCTAGTTCTAATATACTTTAAACAAATAATATCAACTAATTCTTATAAATATTAGACAATGTTACAATATTAATAATAATCTATTTGAAAACATTCAGTATTCCTCGAACATTTCGTTACGGTACGGGAAGTTCCAGCAATTTGCCTTAAGGCACGATGCCATACACCCCACTAGTTTCTTTTTCTAATTTGAAAATACAATCCTTATCCGATTAATAATGGAAATTAAATGAATTCGAATGGCTGCCTAGGCTAACAAATAAACGTTATTTTGCCTATTTTGCCTATTTTGCTGGCAAAAAAGAATTTATACATATCATTATCAAAGTATCAGACTTAATGGACCTCTGAATATATATTATTTACAAAATTTTGATTTTACATTATTAAATGAATGCACTAAAAGCATTACAATTCTTAAGATTAATAGAAATATGAATGTTTTTTAAATCATTTGAATCGAATGGTTCGTTCTCTCAAAAACTAACATTTTTTCCACATTTAGCTTCATTTATAACAATTGTATCCATACATAACGCACATACATACACACACACATAATTTTTTTCAGAAACTTCTGAAACGTAAATTTGTGCAAAAATTTTCACTTACGATTTTTGGACGATTACAATAACTTACCCTGCGTGATGTTATATATTTGAATGATTTAATTAGAATTCAATTATTTTTTTATTCCGAAGGAGAAGTTTATGTTTTCATAAAAAAAAAGATTCGCTAATTTTATGTTTTCTCGACCTTTCAAGCCGTTCTGAATCGAATGAGACCAAATTTGGAAAAAGTATGTGTATGTGTCATTCGATGTATCTCGATGAGGACTATTGTTTGTCAGTTTTGTGCTACGATCGACCAAGCCGTTTCTTCGTAAATAGCAGAAAAGTGAAAAGTTTTTCGTCCACGTTTTAGCCCGCAATTCTGAATCGATTTTGAAAATTCAAAAATCGTTCGAAAGATATTGGTTGGGAATCGACCTGATTAGTTTTTGGTAGAGATCGGCCGAGCCGTTTTCTTGTAATAAGGTGTTAAAAAATTTTTTTTCGTCGATTTTTATTATTATTTTTTTGACGGTAGATACCATAGTCTTCTAGATCATACTGAAATATTACGGCCTTACGACAACTCGTTTAGCTTTAAAAATTCGTCAAAGTTTGCAAAAATTAGTATGGTCTTTTTGGCATTTGTCTTTTAAAATAAGTATGGTCTTTTTTCAAAATTAGAACTTTCATCGACGTTTGCTCAAAAACGCCTGAACCTATTTCAGAAATTTAAAAATCATTTGATGTATCTCGATGAGGATTATCGATTCTTAGTTTTGTGCGACGATCGGTCGAGCCGTTTCTTTGTAATTTGGAAAAAAGTGTTAAACCTTTCGTCCACATTTAACATCATACTACCGAACCGATTTTAAAAAATCAAAAACTGTTCGAAAGATATTAGTTGGGAATGATACTGATTAGTTTTAAGTGAAAATCTACCGAGCCGTTTTCTTGTAATTAACTGTTGAAAAAAAAATTAAGCCGATTTTTATGGAACTTTTTTGGGCGATATATATCATGGTCTTATAAAACTTACTGAAATATTATGGCCTTACGACAAGTAGTTTAATTTTAAAAATTCATCAAAGTTTGAGAAAATGAGTAGTTCTTTTGACATTTGTTGAAATTAAAATTAGATGATTTTGGTATAACGATAAATGCTTGGTCTTAATGAACATACTAAACAATTAAAGTCTTACAAAAAACTGGCTCAATTATTAAAATTATTGATTTTTTAAAATTTGCTTTTAAAAAATATTCCGACTGGGTTGACGTGTTCGATTTTCAATAATGTGTAATAAATCGACTTCGAATACTTTTAACTACTCATAAATTAATTTATCTATCATGAATTAAGTCGATTATTTACACAAATCGGGAAGTTCATGTAACTTGTCTCAAGGCAAAATACCAATGCCAACTAGTTTAAATAAATATAATATGATGAATTATGATAACATATATCAGTTTTTCTGAAATATGTTTTAATTTATTGCTTCTTCGTTGAATCAATATTAAGGGAAATGGAATTTAATTTATTTCTTTTTTGTTCCTATGGGTTTATTTCGCCTGAATCGTTCATGCATATAGGAGCGCAGTGAATGCCTAGAAACAATCTGAGTTCAGAAACCATAATGTCGCGCAAAAAAGCCAAAAAAATATTGGGGATTGTAAAGCATTATACTTGGCTTGTCCCCCCACTTGGAGTGCCTGTCAGCCTAACCGCCTAACACTGGCGCACTTGTCGCGCACACAGGCTCACGGCGGCTCACGAAATCGCGCGGCCTCAGCTCTCAACAGTTGGTTGCCGAAGTCCGTTCAGTGTAAACGTGTTCAGTGTTGTGTCGCTTTATGTGTATGTCCCTCCGTTCAAATCGTTCAAATATCAAAACACCCGCCAAGCAAATTGTACATAAAACTTACATCTGAAACTAATACTCGAAATCCGTTGTTGTGATATAAAATTATAATTGATTGTAATATTGTGTTGTAATATCATTTCTCCCTGTGTGAAAATTTTCAGTGTGTGTGACCAGACACTTTGCGTGCGCGAGTGTTGGTTTTAGTATATATCGATTTGAGCCCTTTTGATGGAAATACAGTATACAGTATTCAATGAGGTCAATTGCTAAGTTAAATATGTAGCCAGGTATGTCAGTCTTGAATCTTATAAAATACGATTGACTTGGTTTTTAACTTATTTGCGAATATTGTAATTTTGCGTTCCGGAAACTTGGGTTTTAGTGTTGCACATTACAAATCGGATTATCTCCGAACATGTGGCGCGTGCTACAGTGCGTTGCAAAATTTTCTTTCGAGCTGAAGGAATGTGTTCTAAGTAATTGTCTAGCTTTACTATTTAATTTTTTTATTAATTTTGTTCTGCAACCTGCTTTTTTACAAACAAAAGGCAGCAACTGCTAATAATGTACACCTATTCCACGTTTTACACGGAAGATAGGTTCCATAAACAACCGTGTAATTCGAAAAGTTCACTCTTGTATGGAAAAACCGTGCTGTCTAAAGGCTGTTATAGCCTTTGAGACAGTTTTTAATATGGTGAATAACAAACAAATTAAACGAAAAATAAATATTAATTTATTTAATATCATACACATTTTATAAATTATAAGAATATTAATTTATTTCAACATTAAAACAAATATAAAAACCTATTTTAAATATTGGATTTCACACTATTAGCCTTTTTACAACAATCCCTTCACTTTGAAATATTTATATATATATATATATATATATATATATATATATATATATTAAATTGGGCTAAATGACTGACTGGTTAAAGGCCTTAAATAAATAAATAAATATTTATTAACGCTTAAAACGATTTGTATCACTTTAAATATGCCAAAATAACACTTTTTTAAAAAATAGATATATTGTTATTTTCAAGTAATAATTAGAAAAACATATCAACCTCATTCAGATACTATTACGTATTATTTTAATGAATCGATTAGAAATTAGGAAAAAACTAGTGGTGCATGGCATCGTGCAAAACATTATTTTTGTTTTTTTTTTTTTGAAAATTTTGAAAAGAAATTGGTTTTTGAGATCTTTTAAAATTTTTGAGAAAAGTTGACTTTTTTGAAAATTTTGAACTTTTTTCAAAGCAATTTCGCTGCGTTAGCTGCGAAGGGGTGAAATATCAAAGCGCGTAAGCGCTGCGTCGCAGACTAAAGGATAAACATTGTTACGGAACCCATAGAAATGTGAACAAAATTTATACTTATTAATAAAATATCTAATAAATTGTTGTGCTTATATCTAATTAATCTTTTTTGACAGCCAAATGGTAGTTTTTTTTCTGTTTGTATTGGATATCCGAAACAGCAAGACATGCCTTTCTAAAAATTTAATAAGTTTTTTATTTTGTCGATACAAATAAAATGTTTTTTGAATTATTGGAATCGGACGCTCCATTCTTTCAAAAACTGAATTACCATTTTTGGAACTTTGAAACGGCTGAACCTGCCAAAAACTATTCTTATCAATAGGAATCGAATGTTTTTTTGAAACATTGAAATCGGTTAATCCGTGTTCTCGAAATCGTCGACGAAAAATTGCATCCGCACATACATACAAATACACACACACATACATCAATTTTTTCTAAAAATAAGATATGCCAAAAAGTTCAGGAACTTTTAAAACGTTAAGATATGCAAAAATTTGCAGTTTCAATTTTTTTGCGATTACTATAACTTAGCCCCACGGGAAGTTGAAAATTCAGATCGGGACGTGTGCAGAGAAAAATCAAAATAGAAAAAAAATTGGCCTGATAATATGTGAACAAGCGCGTAAATTTGCTGAATACTTACAGAACAATTATTTTAATGTTATAATTGTCTGAATATAGATTGATTGCAACTACATTTTGTATTGCGAAATCACCTGGGATTCGGAGACAATGGCACAACAAGATGTTGATACATGGATAGTAATTGTTTTGTTGTAAATTTACGTATCATCAGACATGTTTAACGCTTTAGTTTTTCAATTGATGCTAATTAAATCAAATGTTTTCACGAGAAAATCTTGGAATGATAGTCAGAAAAAATTTACTAATTTATTATTCCAGGCGCACCGCAAAAGTTATGTTAATAATCTCGTAATTGATGACACATCAAAATCTTACTGACAAACCAAAATAAGTGATTTTTGAAAATAATGTAATTATAATTACATTACTATGTATTTTATATAATTTTTAAACGTGTAATTCAATATTTACATATGATAGTAATAAGTACTAGTATCTATCTTATAATATGCTTACTCACTTAAGATGTGTTTTTGGTAGGTTTTTGAGAAAACGTCTTAACGAGGTTTCGCCGTGTGTGTTTAGTTTTGTGGAAATTATCAAATACAAAGTATTTATTTCATTTGGTACCGATCTAACTAACTATTTTTCTTAAGGATTTGTCAATTTTTAGATTAATCTTAAGAGCAGCATAAGTATCACTAGAATATAAGTGCAATCCATTCGGAAATTTTGTACCAGCTCCATTTTGATTAATTATTAATATCTTCATAATTTTCCGAAGTGATATTTTTCCTCGTAACATCCAACTCTCAATATCATACAAATAAATACAACAAGATGTTAAAATTTTATTTTTTGCATACCTACCTAATGGACATTGCTTTCATTATATCTTTTATGCATTTCATTCATTGTGATTTGTGATATTGCGCAATCTGTTTACAATGCAAACTTTGCATATACAATAGATAATTCTGAAATGTTGCATTCTACAAACATAATAGTTTGAGATTAATTATATAGTGTATATTGTTTTTTTAAGCTTTATATTACTTATTTTTTATTTTTTTTTGTCAGTAGACTTTGCCTATGGTTTGGCACAGTATCAGATTGACAGAAAATCTTTGTGCAGAAATTCCAATAATTATAATTATTGCAATAATTATAATAATTATTAATTGCTCATCTCAATTTTTAATGCTATTTTTGCAGCATTGCTTATTTCAATTGTTAATGGTATTTTTTCTTTAAAACTGTTTGTTAACCAGATCTAACGCATTATTTGAAATTATGAATTATATAAGAGTTGAATAAAATGCAAATGCTTTGTTATACAAACATTCATAGTTTTATTTGTTGATTTCATCGTTGCTCAGTGATAAAAGCTTTGGCCCTTCAACCACACAGACTTCCATAACGGCCTCGGTCTGATATCAAGTAGTTGTGACATCCGTTTTTACTTGAAATATTAGAAATGAATATGCGATCACATGAAAATAGCTCTTTCTCTATATAGCTACATCAAATAAAAAAAATTAATAACATCAATACGAGAGAAATTACGAAAAAAATAAATTGAAAATTGAAAATATATATTCCTTATTGAGTGTAGTTTGTATAAATAAATTCATTATAGACAAAACGAGCAGATACATTAAATTTATTAATTGTAATCTCACAAAATCATAAATTGGCGTTCGAGAACTACTAATCTGATAAGTGCTTCAATGACACTTTATTAATATTAGATTCGAGCCATTTTCGCATAAAAATCATTGACTCATGATTTATCTATTACTGACATAAACGTAAGTAATAAATAGCTTTGTTGTCAAATATTTACGAGATGATTAATAACATATAAATTTTATTAGGGATACGCAATAGAAAATTGATGACATCAAATATTTTACATTTTTCATAACAATTATATATTTTTTCAACAATTATAGTGATTTTTTTAAATTATTGCATATATATTTTTCAGGTCATTACGTTAAAAAATAATTTAATTTATAATCAGTATTTCCTCGTAGACAAATGTTCAAATTACCATTTAATTTGCATTTACTCCAGCTAACTGGTAAAATAACAATATTATTGCTGTATAAAAAAAGGCGTGGCTCGCCCGTAGGTAAGCGGTTAAGAGCGACGGGACCTGAATCAGAGGTCCCGGGTTCGATACCCACTTCGAGCAGCCTGTTGTCAGGCAACATTGACAACGATTTTCACTTGGAAATATAGATAGCAATATGTTTCCAAGACAAAATAGTCCTCACCCGTCATTGTTGCACCATACTTGCCCTATTGCAGAGATTGTAATAATAAAAATTTATCATACAGAGATGTGACAACTGTTTGGGTTGCCATCTTTAATAAAATAAACGTAGTTTGTAAGATATTAATCACAACAGCTCATAGAACCCATAAGTTCTGATCGGTGTTCAAATAAAATTATAACTAGCTGTAAGTGGAATTCTGTCTTAAGGCAATTAAGGCATTAAGGCAAATTGCTGGAACTTCCCGTACCAAAAATTATTATTTTTTTAAAAACGATTAACATTTTTGAAAAAAATTTACTTCAAAAAAATAAGATTTTTGACAAACAATTAGACAAAAAATTACTTTTTTTAAAAAAAAATTTTTTTTAATTTTTTTTTTTATTTCTTTTTTTTTGAAAAAAAAATGTTGTCTTTATTTTGACATATTTTGAAAGATCTAAACTTTTTTTCAAAGCAATCGTTCTACTTTAACTGCATAAAGACGAAATATCAAACCGCGTAAGCGCCGCGTCGACGTCTAACGCGTAAACATTGGTACGGAACCCATAGGAATGTAAACCAAAATTATACTTATTGTTAAAATCTCTATAAAATATCTGATAATTTGATGTGCATATGTCTAATGATCATTTTTGACCGCCAAACGGCATTGTTAACTTCCCGTAGGGCAAGTTATAGTAATCGCAAAAAAATCGAAAATGTAAATTTTTATATATCTTTACGTTTCAGAGGTTTCTGAACATTTTGGCATACCTTAGAAAAAATGGATGTATGTGTGTGTGTATGTGTGTATGTGTGTGTGTGTATGTATGTATGTATGCATGTACGTGTGTGTATGTATGTGCGGATACAAATTTTCGTCGACGATTTCGGGAACACGGGTCAACCGATTTGAATAATTCAAAAAACATTCGATTCGTATTGATAAGGAGACGTGCTGATTAGTTTTTGGCGAAGGCAGGTCTAGCCGTTCCGAAGATACGGGGCAAAAAGTGCCGAAAACGGTAACTCAGTTTTTGAGAGAACGGAGCGTCCGATTTGAATAATTCAAAAAACATTTCACAAAAATTTTCATTT